AAAGCACAAACAATTCTCATTTAATTCTTTTATCATACTTTATCGGTAGTCTCTCCTCTTGTACTTAATTGTTGTTGTTAAGTGCTGTTGAGTCAGTTCCGACACATGGTGATCCTGTATAGGGTTTCCGAGGAGGAATTGGGGAGGTTTAACCACTGGCCTTGAGGTTCAAATTGACTTTGCAGCCTAAAACATTAACCCACCGTACCACACCAGGACTCCTTCGCACTAAACAGAGTATGACAATTCTCTGCTGTCTGGCTAAACCAAATCACCAGTTCTTTCTTTTCCTCCAAGCTTGAAATCCAATGCTATCCAGATATTTCAACTTACCTACTACCTTAGCTCAACAGCTCCACTACCAAAAACAAGCTCACCATCATATGCTTGGTCCTCAGTTCCTTGTACCTTGATCTCTCCTGCAATAAAAACCCACCTGGTAATTTCTCTGTGGATCTCAAGAGCACTGTGATTATATCAGTAACCTAGACTAAAATAATTATAATCAAGCATTGTGGCTCTGTAGGATAAACAGTGTACTACAAACCACAAGATCGGCAGTTTGAGCACACCAGACCCTCGGAGGGAGAAAGATGAGGTTTTCTACTCCTGCAAAGATTTAGAGTCTTGGAAATGCTGTACAGGATTGCTGTGAATTGGAACAGACTTGACGGTTCTAACAACAACAACAACAACTAGTTACTTGATGATGGAGGGGTGATGGGTACAAATAATTGGGTTGCATTAGTCATTCTCACTAAATCTGGATAATTCTGTCTTGGAAGTAATTCTCAGTCCATAGTCCTAGTGTATGTTTCTATGAAAGTAAAGGGATTTCTAGTCTCTAGTTGGACTCCTGGTATGGCGCTGTGAGTTGATGTGTTGGACTTTAAGGTCAGTTTGAATTGCAAGGTCGGTGGTTCAAGCTCACCAACCACTCCTTGGAAACCCTATACAGGGTCTCTATGAGTCAGAACCAACTCAGTGGCACTTAATAACAACAATAATCTCTAGTTGGACCAGCTTCACATTCCCCCATCCAAAAAAAAAGCTAGATCACAAATGTCATACAACATGGGAAAATTAATAGCATCAACACTAGCAGACATGCAGCCAGCATTGACACAGAGACTAAAGAGATGCCACGGCCTGGGGCAGAAGGAAGGGAGAATCACTGCTAGGAGTATGGGGTTTCTTCTTGGGGTGATGAAAATGGTCTGAACTTAGATAGCAGCAATGGCTGCATAACATTGTGACTATTCCAATCAACGAATTTTATACTGTAAACAGGTGAATCTTATGGTATATTAATTGTAACTCAAAATTGCCTTTTAAAAAAAATTATCTTGATTTCAGGTAATTCTGGCTCCAGTTACATTAGATTGTTCATGACTCTGAGTAGCATACTAGAACCTTTATTCCGATTAGAACGCCTGGGCTTCCTACTTGCTTCCCATTCCCTGCTCTTTGCCTACCAAATCCAGCTTTTCTTTTTTAAAAATAGACTACTCATCCTTTAAAGGAGCTCTAGTAGTGTAGTGGTTACAAGTTGGGGGGCTAACCTCAAGGTCAGCAGTTTGAAATGACCAGCCATTCTGCAAGATAAAGATGAGGCTTTCTGCTCCTGTAAAGATTTACAGCCTCAAAAACCCTATTCAGGGTCGCGATGAGGTGGAACTGACTCCACAGCACACACCCACCCCCCACTCATCCTTTAAAATGAATTGAACTGTTTGTTCCCTTCTCTATAAACTTTTCTTTGACATCTCTACTCCCTCATGCAGGATGATATTAAAATCAAGTTGTTGTTTGTTGTTAAGTGCTGTTGAGTTGGTTCCAACCCATAGCTACCCTCTATAGGGTTTCCAAGGAGTGGCTGAAGGGTGTTGAACTGTGGACCTTGAGGTTCAAACTGACATTGAGGTCCAGCACATTACCCTGCAGTGCCTTCAAATCAACTCTGACTCACAGTGATCCCATGTGTACTAGCGTAGAACTGTAGGTGAATGTTTACAAAGCAAATTGGTTTCCCCCTCAACAATTTATAAACATTTTGTTTGGTAACATTACTTGCAATAGTTGTATCTTAGATGGCAGCTCCCAAGCTTTTCAAGACCCGAGTGGCTACTCAATAAAAGGGAACACTGTCCTTATGGACCCGCTATGCTAATTCACCTAGACTCCATAGGGCTTATTAGGGCTGAATTTCTGGAAGCAGATCACTAGGCATTTCTTCCAAGTTGCCTTTTGGTGGACTTGAACCTCAAACCTTTTGGTCAGTAGCTATTTACACAGCCTCTGATGATATCAGAGCTCACACTCCTCTTCCCACTCTAGGCTACGAGTCTGAGGTCTGAGGACAGGAGAGTATCTCATTAACTTCTGTATTCAGTTACTGCACGGCAACTGCATCTACATTTTCAAAAGATGTTCAGTAACTTTTTAAAAAAGATAATTGTGCAAATATATATTTTTTATACAGAGTTCACAATGTTACTATCACAAATAATTATCTGGTAGACTCTTTTAAAATTCTAATTTTGATTAACGAAAAACAGCCTAAGAAGAGAACTAATGGAGTTTCTTGATTACATTATTAAAATAAATACGTTGGGCCCTTTTAAGATAGAATGGGGAATTTTCAATTTTTATTGCAGAACATTTGTGAATATACTGGGAATAAAGTATATAAACCAAAACAATACTATCTTTACACTGATATATGGATTTGTAATGTGAATGTTTATTATACTTAAACAGACACAGTTTTTTTTATAGTAATATAAAATGATGTGATTAAGATGATGACTTTTGTTGCTATGAGGTACTCTGGTGAACGTTTTATTTGGACCCTTATCCTATATAGTAATTTTTAAGGAAAAAAAAAGCCATTTCTAAGACATAGGTTGGAAACTCAAATACCTGTAAGAGCCATCAATTGAAGAACATTATCAAGCATATTATCAATCCATAAATTTTGCTTCTCAGCTCCAACTAACCACTGCTAGTCACAAATGTAGTCCTGGAGATGCCAAATGTGACTTTTCAAAGAAACTTTAGAAGTAGGGAAATTCAGACTTCTACATACGACTCATGATTTTAATATGTTAGCTTAATTCAAAATTTAATACATAGGGCAAGCCAACCAAAACACACCTGCAGGCCAAATCTGGTTCACAGGCCAACCAACTTACCACCTCTAATCTAAAATCTGATGTGTGGCTTATGATTCTAAAACTATAAATGTACTTTAATGGAAGAAAAACTTGAAAAGAAAACTGAAATTTCTGGATGAAGCCATGCTCCTGGCCCCATCTGTTTAGTTATAACTATTCCTCTCCTAAATTTCCCCTTCTCTTCCTGAGTTTCTAAAAAGGCTAAAATATAAAACAGACCAGGTTAAGTCTGCCCATTATTCTAGCACCTGCTCTGTTTTAAAGAGTGAAATACGGGGTAAATTTCACCTTGCAATTATCTAGCCAACTGAAGAGAAATATGTGAATTATTTCTTGCTGGGTGGAAAAATTCCCACAGCTAAACAGTCAAGATTGCATGGTTGAAAAAAAATCTCTGAATTATTTCTCCTTTACCATTAGGCAGTGCAGTGTCACTCAACTGACAAGGTGGCTGCCGTGCCCTGAATCCTGACTGGAAACCCAATCATAACCCCGGACAAGCTCTTCAAGTCCTGTCGAGATTCCATTCATCTTCTGAAACTGAAGGTAAGAGAGCCTGTGGTTCTAACTTTTGATCCTAATTAGAAGATTGCATCTGTTGAAAACCTAGTGGATATTAAAGCAAGTTAAAGAATAGGTTTTGGTTCTAAGTCCAGTGCTACTGATGCACCCTTCCTTGCATCCCTGGTGTATCTGAATATCTCAGCCCCAATCTACTCAGAACTCCAAGGAGAGGCTTCTGTTATTCTACATGTTTTTTTGACACCCAATCCCAGCTTGACTCTTCTAAAACCAATATTGGTCCTGGCCACTATCCACTGACCTCCCCTACACCCCTGGTGGAAAGGACACACAGCCCCAGGGAGAGTTTATCAATGAACTAGACAAATGGCAAGCACTCCATTCCTTGGGACATAAGCAATCAAGGATTTTCTTAGGCAGCTTGTGAGAACACTATGATGGGCAACGTTTTTCCTAACACCTTCTTTATCCAAGCAACCAAGTGGAAAAGATGTTGATCTAATAACATCTATCCATTTCTAGAAACTGTCCATTTTGTCAAGTGACCTGAATTAGCACCACCATCGACGTTATTTCCTTTTCTAAGAGCAAGGAACATTTGGAAAAAAAACAAAACAAAACCACAACAACCAATAATATACCTTTTAAACTCAATCTTTAAAAATACCAACAGCATGATGCTTTAGCCCAAATAAACATGGTTCACAAAAGATTCTAACTGACAAACAAAAGCATACTAAAGGCACAGTAAAAATAAGCAACCAAGCAGTGGCCCGGCTCGCTGTGACCCATCAATGCTTCCCTCAGGGTTGATGGTTCAGAACAAGTGTCTCAAGTTGTGACGGGGGAAGGCATCTCATGGTGGGGTTCAGCAGCCTAAGAAGACTGATGAAAATCTGAAATAAAACCAGGCATACTCTTTCTGAAGAATATAGCCAGAGTCCAATGTCTTAACTGCCTTGCATTTTGATATGTGAACAGTAGATCCCACTCTCCAATGGTCACAGACATGCAAATCTCCAGCCAGAACGGAAGGTGCTTAGAAAATCAATAGCCTGTACTTGACTTCTGAGCAGTTTTGGCGCACTAAGTACCTACTGGACAGCAATGCACATGCATCAGCATCCAGCAATGTCAGTAGGCTCCTTCTTCTCTGATAACCTACCTGGAAGACCTGTTTAGTAATATTTGCTCTAAGGAAAAAATATCATACACATATATCAACCTTACACATAAAACGAAATATTAAACGGATTTTGGACGCATTAGTTCTCAACCACAGAAACTTTGTTTTGTTCTTACCTCAGCAGCTTGGGTTTCTTGATGTAGCAATGTGAGACCAGTTAAGTCTTCTAAGAAGGAATGTGCAGAATTAAACACCTTCGCTAGGAAATTAAATCCTTCTCGTTCATATTGATCAAGAACCTGTAAAACATTTATTTGTATTTTTAAAAAAGAGGTATAGATTTTAAATGTATACTCAGAATTTTTCACTTCTAATAGGCAAAAAATTACTGTAGCAAAATAAAGCTAAAATAGGAGTCAAATATGAGGGTGAAAATGCAATTTTGTGGACAAAAAACTAGAGGAGTTTGGGATTATTTTTTACTTAGGGAAAAAATGACAATCTCATCTTCTAATCCACTTACCAGTTTTTTTCCAAATAAGGTGTTTCATGCAAATTCACTAGAGGTTCTACTTAGCCAGAAACAAACACCTAGAGGGAGGGAGTCATTGGGCCTGGGACCAGAGTCATGGGGACACCAAGGTAAGCTGGCACAACACAGTCCAGAGAGACAGAGTTCTACATCCACCGGTGAGTAGCAACTGGGGTCATAAAAGCTGAAACTACTGGTCTCTCCCTGCCAGGAGCAAAGAGTGAAGACAATCAAACCTGGAAACAGTAAGTCCCAAGGTCTCAGCTTCCACCACCCGGAGACCAGAAGAACTAGCCTGACTACCACTGCTGACCACTTTGAAAGGGGTCACCAGACAGGGTCCTGAGGAGAGTGGGGAAAATATGTGAACAAAATTCAAAACTATAAAAAAGAACAGACTTACTGATCTAAGGGAGACGGGTGAAATCCCAGATCCACTGTGCTCTTTAGACACCCTGCCAGCCTGGAACTGAACTCACCCCCGTGGCTGAATGTCTAGTCAAATGATAGGTTCCTTAGAAATATCAGCCAAACAAAATCCAAAAGGCAGCATTCACCCTGGGACAGACCCCAGAAGGCAGGAATGCATAGGAAAGGATGAATGTTAACAGCAGACATAGGAAGAGTGCTGTTACTTCGTGGAGATTGCAGTCAATGTTAAGAAACAAATGTCATGAATTATTGAATGGGAAATCAATTTGTCTGTAAACTTTCACTCAAATCATAATAAAAAGTTAAAAAACAAAACCAAATTAACTAAAGGGTCTAAAAGAGTCTATTTATCATTAGTAATTCTAAAGTTCATTTGTTGTTGTTGTTAAGTTCAGTCAAGTTGGTTCCAACTCAGAGCACACCTGTATAGCGTGCCAAGGAGTGGCTGGTGGGTTTGAGCAACTGACACTTTGTGGTCTGCAGTCCAGTGCTGATCCTACAGCATCACACCAGGGATCCCTTGTTAGGGGGGTAAAATACACGTAGGAAAAGAGTGGGGGTGGGGCAGGACTAAAGGGATAATTAGAAAGGGGACAAAAGAATGTGAAAATGAACCATACTCATTAGCCAAACGCACTCTAAAAAATAATTTTAAAATGGAAAACCAAATGCCAACAGGCACTTCAAAAACGGGCTAAGTGGCCAACAAACATATGAAAAGGCAGTCAATATTATATATGGTCAGAGAGACAGAAAAAAAAAAAAAAAAAGGAAATACCAGGTAATACTGTTGTACATTCACCAGAAGAGCTAAAATGAAAAAGACAGAAAACAATAAGTGCTGGCACCCAGGACTGTCATGAGAATGCTAAATGAGACAATCACTTCAGAGATGGGCCATTTACATAACCCAGGATCCAGCAAGCCAGAAACCACTGAAGTACCCATCAACAATAGAATGGATAAACAAATTGCGGTCTAGTCATACAATGGAATATAGTAGAGCAATGAGGATGAACAAACTACCACTGTATGCAATGATGAAGATAATTCTCATCAACATAACATTCAACGAAAGAAGTGAGAAGCAGTATATATTAATTGGATGAGTCGCTCCTTGCAAACCCTATGCAGGATCACTATGAGTCGGAACCAACTGAACGGCACTCAACAACAATATACTTGTTTATGCATGCGATATTTCTAAAAGAGCACACACCCACTGATATAACGTAAGGAAACACTGACTGTACAGTTTTTTGTACTACGTGAATTTTAAAAACCAAGTGTACATATTACTTAGTGAATTAACACTGAATTTTATTTTGGACATTTGAGTTTCCATTCTGACATGTAAAAGAGCTTGTAAATTGACACTCCCATCCTCAGAAGAAGCAGAAAGCTGAGCAAACAGGCAAGAGACAACTCTGCTTCAATCCATCAGAGATATGAGGTCTCAGGGCACACAGGCTACAGAAAATCACAGCCAACCTGGAGCAGACAGCCAGAGTTGGACTAGCATTGAAGGCAAGTTGACACTGTAGCTGATGGATTACTAGAAGCTCAGTGTGGAGAGTAGATGGAGAGTTTTACCTCCAGGAACCCCACTTGGTTCTCACTGTGAGGACTGGAAGAGAATCCACTCCCACATCTGGTGAGGGAGTAACTGTTTTGCAATATGCCCAGGTCTCCTGCTCTGCTTCACTAGGCCTGCACTTAAGAAAACGACGTCACCAGAATCTAAGCAATGGGCTGTTAACCGCAAGGTCAGTGGTTCAAAGCTACCAGCTGCTCCTTGGAAGCCCTATGTCACTATGAGTTGGAACTGACTCAATGACGCTTAACAACAGCAACAACCACACATATAGAGGTGCTAATAGTCAGAATTAACTCTATGACAAGTTTGAAGCCACCTGGGGTGGGGGCCACCCGACTCCAGCCTTGTCTAGTGTTCCATGTGCAGGAAGGGAAATACCTAAGGGGAGAGAGAATTTTATTTTATTTTTTTCATTGCTGGAGACAGGTCTCAGCAGAGGTAGAAGAAAACACTCTGAAGAACGTTGAAAAGGAGATGCTACAAAGAAGGGACACAGCCCTTCCTCAGGGACAAAACGTACAAAGGTATGGATAAGCAAAGATGCTGTAGAGCTCTGTCCTGAATGGTGGGGACTGGGGGCTGATGAGCTGAGGCATTTGCTGGTAGAGATGGGCTGGGATGGAACTTGGAGACTTAGGAGACTGGTGGTGGTCTGAGGCACCTATACAGACAACTTGAGAGAGAAAGCTGGCCAGCAACACATCAAAGGGTACTAGGTACTGAGGTGGGGTCCTGGTGTGGTGCTTTAGAATAGGCACTGCACTGCTAACTGCAAAAATAGTGGTTCAAACCCACCAGCCTCTTCTCGGAAACCCTATACAGGGTCACTGTGAATCTGGACTGATTTGGCAGCAATTAACAAGACACGAGGTATCTGCTCAGGACAGAAAAGATATATAATGGGAGGCAGGCAAAAATGGATCCATCTAAGCTTAGGGACTGGCAGGATCAAGGTAACAGAGAAAGAAGTGAAAAAAATTGAAGACCTACTGAGTAGCAATAAGGTACTCTGGTAGCATAGTGGTTATGAATTGGGCTTCTAACCTCAAGGTCGACAGTTCGAAACTACCAGCGGTTCCACAGGAGAAAGATGAGGTATTCTGCTCCCATAAAGATTTACAGCCTCAGAAACCCTGTGCAGGGTCACTATGAGTCAGAACCAACTCCACAGTACTTAACAACAACAGCACTGAGTAGCAATAAGGGCTGTGCCTGGGACTCAGGTTTGCAGGAAGGAACTGCAACTGCAGGCTGGAGGGAACCAAGAACTGGAGGAGCAGAGGGAGTTATGCCTCAGGGGGCAAGCAAGACTTGGGCTGATTAGCCACAGTAAGTTACTTTGACAGCCCAATGATGGGACCAGTGGGCATGCAATAAATAACTGGCTCCTTAACAAAGAGACTACTTACAAATTGGAATGCTAGCTCAAGAAAAACACAGACGGAAATTAAATTATGTTTTTTAAAATGCTAAATGTGCTTGTTGTTGTTGTTGTATGCTGTCAAGTAAATTCTGACTCGTAGCGACTCTGCATAGGGTTTCTGAGAGTGGCTGGTGGATTTGAACTCACGACCTCATAGCTACTGTGGTTAGCAGTTCAGTGTTGATCCTATGGTGGGTGTTTAGTTACTACCTACTTCTCAGTGAACCATTAAGTTAAGTACATACTTGCATTTTGTTAGGCTTCTAGTAAGATGAAAGAAGAAATTATTTTGAAAAACAGACAAAAACTTTGGGGGGAAAAATTGGAGTAATTCCAGAGGTGTACTTTGTTCCCACCTTAATTAAGCTTTCAAATGTTTAAGCCTATGTTTCCACAGATAATTTCACAGTGGTGCAAGACTGACAGTGGAAAAACTAACAACCGGGATAGAAAAAAAATGTATCCAACCCCCCACCAGAACGTACAGAAAGTTTAATGCTAAACCATTATTAATAGCACTGGCTTTAAAAATATGTGGAAAAACTGAATTCTCTCAGGGCATATTTAATCACTCAAGTGTTTTCCAGAATTCTCTTTATGTGCTGGGGAGTTAATCTGTGTTATGAGTATAAGCAGCTTATAAAGGCACAGGAAAATGTTTCCCCCTCAAACAGCTTAACCTTCTTAACAGGAAAAATATGTTCAAAACTATCTGAAAAATAAACAAAAAGATATTATCACACTGCATATTAGCACTGCAACATGCCATCAATCTATAGAAGGCAATCACATGTTTTAAGTGACTTACAGAATACATGCTCCTAAGAATTGTACAAGCTACCAGCTGTTCCGCGGGAGAAAGATGAGGCTTTCTGCTCCTGTAAAGATTTCCAGCCTCGGAAACTTTGTCCAGGGTTGCTATGAGGTGGAACCGACTCCACGGCACATAACAAGAACAACAACAACAACAATTGTACATACATGAAGTTTTGGAAGCCTACCCGTCTTCTACAGGCATGGGAGAGTTGGTTAGATTGATAAATAATGACATAACAATGACTCTATTGGAGTAAGGCACGGATCCTTTCCTGATAGGCATGATTGCCCATGTTTATCTGTTTTGTAAGGCTGGGCATGTTTTATCCATGACATACACGAACCTGTATCTTTGGACAAAGATGGACGAATCTCTCCTTAAAACACTTTTTTTTTTTTTTGCGTTGCTGAGAATCCTTGGTGACTCCTTACTGTTTCCCTAATCAAACCCACACACTCAGCGAGACATTTAAGTCCCTCCGTAACTCTCCAGTTATGG